AAGAAAATCTAAAAAACAATTGTTAATTATTAATTAATTATATATGACTTGATCAAATAAATAAATAAATTAATATATATATATTTGTTATATATATTATTATTAGGAAACTTTCAAAATATTGTTGTTTTCGAATATTTAGTGAATTTAAGACAAATGAAATTTAAGAAATAAAAAAAAAATAAAAATAAATACTAGAAATACATTGAAAGATGAAAATGGTTGTTAGTAACTAAGACAACGAAGAAATTTACTGTTGATAATCTGAACTCTAATCATTGATGTCTTTGATAAGTACTCGAATCACACTTTGTTATTACACATATTTCTCATCCCTATTCAATTTAAAGTTTTGACAATTCTCTCTTCCTTTCTCCCTCCCTTGTTCAATGCAAACGCCACCAAACATACTATACGTCACAATATGACATAATCCACACATTTATATAATAATCAGTTTACGCATGAAGTATTAAAGTGTCCAACATTGAAGATTAATCGAATATGATTTTATAGCTTACAAACACCAAATGCTGATATAAACAGTACTTTTAACAATTTTACAATTTCATCTAACTTTACATATATAAAAAACGATTTGGTTCATTAGTAATACATTTGGGATAATAATTTTTACATATAATTTGTTTAGCCCTGTTATTTACAAACAGTAGTTAATTACAATTTGACAATATAGGGAAAAACATGTGACTAAAACCCCATGACAATTATTTTTCATTTAATTTCACATAAATGAGATAAGATAATTATCGAAAAATCGATAAAGCCTTTTATTTTAATTAAATTTTTTATCGCATTACTTTTAATTTGTAAAGTAGCAATTTTTTCATCAGATTATCTACTAATACTATTACATAATTTACACATTACCTCAAACACTGAAAATTGCGCTGAAATCATAAATCCAATCATTAGTACATAAATATATCATGTTTAAACTAATATAAGACTGCATAATTTTAATATTATAGTGACGTTACGTCATTATTGCCTAATTACATTTTCAAGATGTAGGATGGTAAATATAAAAATTAAATATCTTTTCGACAATCGTTGTATTCAAATACTAATTAGCCTGAACAAAGATTATTTATTAGAAAAATTAGCACATAAATAAAGAATAAAACGTAAAAAAAAAGCTTTAATCGTATAAAGTGTAATTTATAACTTCCCTTTCTCTTCATTAAAAAATTAAAAAAAAAAAAATAAATAAATAAAAAGTAAAAGAAAAAGAAAAAATGCGCTTCTTTAATGAAGCAAGCTTAGAAAATTTTATGACATCTTATGAAAAAGCAATGAAATCTCAATTATATCCCGCTGGCATAGCGCATCTTTCAAGAAATAATAGGACGACGAAGCCGGGAATACATCAGTCGGAACCATAGGGAAATAATGCAAGCGAGATGAAGCGAAAAGCAGAGATGCCCTGTGCCAGTGACAGCTTTTAATGAGAAGCATCCCGAGAGCGAGAGATATCTCGTTCAAAAGTTACAACACGAAGGATGTACCAGGGATGCTGCCCAGGACGACGCCAAGTCTGTGGAAGAGAAACTTTCCCATGAGGGAGGAAGAAGGTAAGGAGAGCGAGGAGATGGGTGCGATCCTCGTAATAAGGAACGAGTCCTTGACTCCCGGACTCTTTTCGGGATGCCAATGAAATTTCGCGACAAGGCTTGGTAAATGCCTTCAACGTCGGATATTTTGCAATAGAGACCGACTGCAATTGAAATTTCATCTCGAAGGCTCACTTCCTGCACTTTGACCTGAACTGCCAGTCGTTTCAATAAATAATAAACGCCGACGCGGCTGAAATAATCTATGCGACTGCAATGCTTTTCAAATGCTCTTTTTATTAGGACAATGTGATTCTCCTTCTCTGAGACACAAGAAAAAAATCCGAGAAAACTTACGCACCTATTGATAATCAATGTTTACATAAATTATACAACACTGCTGTGTGATAAAAATCGTTTTAATACTTTAATTTATTTATAATGAAATGAAATTAACTTGCAATTAAAAAATTTTATTTCAAACGCATTTATCTGTCGACGTTTTCGAAATTATGTAGTAGAATTATTACAGATTTTTAAAACAACTCGCTGCCTTCATTATAATATGGATTTGAGCAAACGATTTGATGGTTTTTTAAATCATTCATGACACATATAATATTAGATAGGTATTTGGTAAGGTTGTGGATGTAAAATGACTGGTGGTGGACTTTTCCCTTTCCGAAAGCCGTAAAAAAATCGGACGAACCAGTCGTTGATTCCACTCGGTGATCCAACAACGCTCGATTATGCTTCAAAATAGTATCGATCGGCTTGGAAAGCTCAAGCGACACCGACAAAGATCCAATGCGATACGGTTGTTCGACTCGCTTCGATAAGCACGATTGCTGATAACATTTCATTGCCTTCGTGCACTGCTCGATAACGACACCTCGAGCTAAGGATCTAATCCATGAAACGATCTTCAACGAAATGTTTCTCCATCTCGCAGAGCTCTTCAAAGTCGTGTGACTTCAGACCCTTCAAGTAGCTCGACATCCCCAAAGTGTTTTCGCACTGATTATCACTGGCCAATGATATCAAACTCTCGCTATCCTATTGGAGGGGAAAAAAAAATGGATAAGCAGAAAAGCAATATTTTTAATTAATATTGATTTTTTCGGTTGAAATTTCGTAGACGAGAAAACATGATTATTTAGTGAAAAATATATTTTACATACACGAAGCTGAGTGTAAGTTTCACTGACATTATGGTGTTTATATATTTGTCGGCTTTCGGCTTTCATAAAATCCATATTTCTAAATTTATTTTATATTAATAAGAATTTGGCTTCGTATTAGTTAAATTTGTGTTAATCACATATATTTCAGTAGAAATAAACAATGAAGTTGTGGATAAAGATAAAGGTTATTTTAATTTCTTTAATTTATACATAAAATTGACTAGCTGAAATTGCTCGTATAATTTAAAAAAATTATCATTTAATTATACGTATTTGAAACATTTGCAATGATATCAGTATTATTTCATATTCACCATTGTATAATGATAACACATAATTACATAATACAAACAATAATATAAGATATTAAATGTTTTTCCATAGTAAGTAAAAGAAATCGTGTGTGCGCGTGTGCGTGAGTGTGGCTACTCATAATTCTTGAGCATAATTTTCAGTGAGAACAATAATTAATTAAAAAAGAACAAACAAAATTTGTTTGTTAATAAAAGTTAATAATTAATTTTTATTTAATTTTTAATTTTTGTTAATACAAGCACGATTTCTCATTCACCTCTTTATTTTTTATTTATTTTTCATTATCCCGAAGTGAATGATTCTTTTCAAATAACATGTTGTATTTAGATTTATAATAATTATTAACGAACAATAATCAATTGTAGGTATCTTTTATAAACATTAAACGTATTTCTAACATAATTTAAGAAATTCTTAGCAATTAAAAGTCTTTTTATAGATTGTCCTTAATTATTATAGTCTAATAAAAAATGAATGCTTAAACGTAATTTGTAAATGAGCTTAAATAACATTTATAACCGTGTAATTGCATTTTTATACAAATAAACAAAATAAGTCCAAATGCAATTCTAAATCATGAAAGTCAGTAAAAGTACCAGCGTACTAGAGAAATTCATAACATTCTAGAAAAGTAAATGGTACACTTCAATAATAATAGTGAATTATGGAATGCTCGACAATATTGGAGCCATCGAATGAAAGTAGCTAAACATTTATTATATATGAGATAAAAGTGGAATATAAGTAAGACAAATGAATATATATTTCTCCTTGTACAACATATACATTCAATAAATATTTATGTTAATTATAACGTCCGCAAACATTTAATCAGACTTTTAACAGAAGAATAACTTATATATTTCTTTTTAATTACATTTAATCAATTAACAAAGATTTTTTTATTTATTTATTTAATTTTCAACCAGTAGTGATATTTGTGAAGGATATTTACCTAAATAAATAGTAATCTAGTAAACAATTTATAGAATTTGTTTCATTTATATAGTCCCTTTATTACATTACTTTCTTTTTTTCTTGTTTTTCTGTTTTTTTTTTTTTCATTTTTTCTTTCTTTCTTTAATTAATAGACAAAAATATTCTTTCAAATATAAAAATATTCTAAAGTTAAATAATGAATCGATTGATCCAAAGAATCGTGTATTAATAATTTGATTAAAATCCTTAAAAACGGTCAAACTTTTTTTAATAGATTAACGTTATTATTATTATTATTATTATTATTATTATTATTATTATTATTATTATTATTATTATTATTATTATTATTTTTGTTGTTGTTGTTGTTGTTATTAATATTATTATTGTCATTATTATTATTATTGTTGTTGTTGTTATTATTATTATTATTATTATTGTTATTATTATTATTATTAAAGAGTAGTGATAAATATTTGCGAAAATCTCTCAAAGCGCCACATGATGATTATGAAATCATAAAAAATGTTTCAAAATTTATTATACGATTATAAACAATAATCCTGCTCGATGATAATGAAATTGGAAATAAAAATGAAATGTCATTGAATAAATATTGTGCTCCCTGCCGTAACATCGAGGGCTGACATTTTGTTTTCAAAAAAAAAAAAAAAAACATACTTCCTCTCGCAATTTACATATGGTATCCAATGACGCTCGTAAGCGACACATCAAAACGTAAAATGAAAAAGAATGTCGATATAAAATCATGGGATTTCTAACCAGACTACAGCTGAAGCTCGGGAAGGTCAGTTCGTCGTAGGGTGAAAAGTACGTTGCAGATTTATCGTTCGCTTCCTCGAAGATGGTAGTGTGGGCGGTGCTCCTCATATCAATTGAATCGACTTCGCTCTGAATTGCCTCTACTGGAACGAACAGTCATAGAGATATTTTTAAGTATGTATATTGGATTAGATGGATATTCGTATAATGCTCGGATGCTCAATTTTAAGAGGGTCTAGAATATTTGCCAATCGTTCCTTTCGATCTACTTTCCTTTTTCAGAAAATGAGCTCACGTGCACAACACCGAATCTCCTCGCTCGTTTTACAGTTTTTTCTTCGGCTTTCAACTAAAGTCGCCATATTAAAATATTTCTATCGATTGAATAATGAAAGTCTTTTATTTCATCGTGAGTATCGGTTATATTATTTACATACGCTCTATTTCATTATTTAATGACACTATATTATTCTTGAACAAATTATTACTTCGAACCCTATAACGTGTATGACATTAAAATCATTTATAGTTTTTAGCAATATTTTTTATATTAAACACTTGTAATTGAAAATTATTGTTATTTTTATAACGTATTTACTAATATACATATACTTCATTTAATACTTGGTGTGACATATTTCTGGCACATCAGATGAGTAACGTGAAAATCCCGAATAATCTGAAAATTTTCTATTTCTATGATTTCCTCGGTAAATTAACGTTCGATTACATTAAGCACAATACAACAATTTATCTAAGAAATACATGTAACTATTACGAGTGTTAAAATAATGTACTTGAAATCGGACTCAATAACATACATAAAAATATTGTACAAAAATTATTTAAAAAATATAAATCCTTTTTAATATATTTCCAAAATTATAATTTATAATTTCACTATTAGTATTTAAGTTTCTTGAATATTTTATAAGTTTTACGCCAGTGAAAATGAATGCTATTTAAGTGTAATTGTTTAAATTTTTCTTCTTTTTTTTTTTTTTTTTTTTTTTTTTTTTTTTTTTATTCACCTATTTACGTAACACGAATGTGAAATAACAATTCGTTACAAAATCAAAGTCTACAGCCGTGTTCCTTTTTTATAAAGGACTCGTATCGTACTGTTGAATCAAAAGCAGGACTCGTTTTTCCTAGAGCGATAATGTTTGCACTCAATGTTATTGCCGAGGGGAATCGTATTTATTAGTTTCTCCCGCTTAGTGAGAGCACGAATTATACGTTTCCGAAGCTGTTAACAACACGAAGAGGATAAAAAGTTCTTTTATAAAGGACTTTTGGTGAGAGTATTCATCACCTCGCGACCAGGTACTCGGTTGGATCTTTCGAATATAAACTTACGATTACGAATTACGATAAAAATTTGTATCGCATTATCTTCCAGTAAAGCTCCTCGAATAATAGCGATTTAATCAAAGTTATCCGATATTTTATGTTAAATTTTTAACGATGAAAATCTGGATTTCAGTAAGCCGCGATATATATATATTTCTTTTTGTCACTACGTAGTACAAAGTAGGATAAATCTCTTCAACGTGCTCGAATATTATTATAAATAAATTGTAGATAATTTGCAAATACTTGACAAATTTCACTTTCAACGATATCATTTGTCTTTTATTTTATTATTTATGCATACTTTACTAATGTCCAATCATCTATCGAGCATTGATATCTTTATTATTAAAGTTAATGTGTGAAGGATTGAGAAAGCTTTGTGAATTTAATATAATTTTGTTAAAAATAAACTTCTAGAATAGCAATGTAATTATTCCAATTCTTTTAATTTAATAGGAAAATATGAGCGCAAGCACGATGACGCCTGTGCTTAAATTTTCTAGAAATATAGCTATTACGTCATTCCTCGCTCACTTTGAAAACTATTACATAACATGGACAACATCTCTACTTATTAAACAACAAATAACAACCAAAGTATATAGGGAATCTGCACACGTAAGAACGAGAATTTAAAAAGTCTTCCAACATAGTTAAAGTTTCATACGAAATGTAAATAAATTATTCAATAACATAAAATAGTATTCTTAAATATATACAAATTTATAGATTTCTTGGATAAAAGAAAAAATAAGAAAAGAAAAAAACTTGAAATAAAAATAATAAATTTTAAAATAAATAAATAAAACATAAACTTTAATTTTAAATACTTCAATAGGGTGTAAGTAGCACAAAATCTATTAAATGATATTTTTTGTCTCTTAAATTTGATGAAAGTATCATCGAGCGATATAAAGTTTCAATTCCATAAACTTTTTCATTTTTAGAGATTATTAAAGATCAGAAAAGCCAAGGAGTATTCAACATTAATCTGCAGAGGACCATGAGGATGCTAACTTTTGGAAATAAATCCAAATGGATCCTTTGTCTCTTAGCTCGCTTCAGAACGTCGGCCAATATTGTTTCCGCCCGTCCCCACGGGGGAAATGCAAAAGCGGAAATGCGATTCTCCAGTCCGTTGTAAGGGATTCAAGTCACACATACGACACTCTATTATAATTTTAAACCCGTCGTCCGTTGCGTCTTTTTTTCTTGAAAAACTCAACCACGAGTCTTTTTGTGGACTCTGTCAATGATCAATGATAGTCGCGTTATATTATTTATCAGAGGGACGAATTTTCTTTTTCTTCAAATTTTCCTTTACTATGACTATTAACGAGGGAGAATTACATTGTCATGTCGGCATTTACAATAGTCAGAAACTACTTGGATCACGATTGCCCGTATGGGAAGAAGCTCTCTTAATATCTCAGCTCTTTAACTTTCTATTGGCACTACTAAGAAATCAGAAGATATATATATATGTGTGTGTGTGTGTGTGTGTGTGTGTGTGTGTGTGTAGTAAAAATTTTATGTAAATTTGAGTATAGCTTGTCGTATCTTGATAAAGTACACCCTCATGTTTTTTCATTGTAGATATGCTTGTTCTTCCTCATCATGTTCTTTCCTAATTCTCTTGCGCAAACAGTACTTGCGAGTTCCGCTAGACTAAAATGCTTAACTTCCAAGTCCTTCGATACTGCTGAATCATCAAGTATTTCTGGATGTGTTGAAAATAGAGTAGTTGCTATAAGCTGACATGTCACTGCATTCATAGGGGTGCATTTGGCAAATGTCCCAAGTTTACGAGCAACAATTTTGTGCCCTAAACCCATTGGCTCTTATACAAATTCTCACCAGCTCAACAACTTTTTAGTACAAGTGTATAAACTTGCGAAAACAAAAAATAATGCAATGATCGCTATAGCTATTAACAATAGTAATTGTAATAGTACAGAATTATGGAAGAATTTAGAAAAATGACGAAATTTTAGGTCACATTAATGTCATTACACATACCTTCATCAATTATAATGTCCTTAATAATTATATTCCTCAATTATAAGACTGTAAACAATATGAATTATTTTATTATTTGAATAAATAATATGCCTTCTAATGACAAACATTAGATATAGCAAAATTGTATTTTATATAAAATTTAATATCAACTGAATTCATAACAAGATTTGGTGTTTAGAATAATATGATCATCTGATTGTGAGAAAGTTAATTTAGATATATATATATAAAAGTTATCTAATACAAATATCGTATATAATATAATATAATGTAATATAATAATCGTATAGAAAGTCGCGAGAAAGACAATTAATTCGAGGATAAAGTTAATTGAAGTATTAAAAATTTGTATTCATTCTTGTAAAGTAAAGTTTCCCGTTTAATACAATAGTGAAAAAATAAATCTCAAGATCTCACTTTTCATTCCAAATTATTTTGTGAACGAAATCAACGATATAACGAAATATCGAAAAATTATAATTTGTTATAATCTCAATAAACGAAAATGTATAATTTATGTATGTTTTTTTTTTTTTTTTTTTTTTTTTTTTCTGGCAA